GGCAGCCGGGATGGGACAGCTCCGAGGAGCACCATGCCCACCTCCAGAGGCTCAGCACAGCCTGGAGGATCAGCAGCCCACGGAAAGACACAAATGTAACTCCCTGAAGCACTGGAAATGCAGGAGTCCAAGTGTCTGGACAGACGTGTGATTCCTTGGATTCACCGCCACAGGAACGGGCTAACCACCATCGGTCTGTCTCAGCACAGGCAGGAGTGTTCCAGGGATGGAAAGATAAAATCCAGCACATCCTTCCCCATCCAGAAAGCTCCTGGAAGCTGCAGGGATGAGCTTTCAGCAGCACTGCCTGCACTAAGCCTTGTGGGCAGCAAAATTCCTTGGGCAATTCCATCCCTCCCTCCCTGCCCAGCCTGTCACGGCCGAGTCTGCCTGAGCCACCTCCCCTCCTGCCAGTGTTTCTCTAATTGACTCCAGAATTTGCAGATATTCTTCCCAGCCAATCCCTCCTATTGATTGTAATTATCCTCGGAGAGGCAATGGGAGGAATATTAAAGCCATTAAGGCTGATTTGGATTTGATTCGAGCCATTAGAGACACAGCAAGCGGAGCCTCGCCGCTTCCCCGGCACCTCCACGGCTCCTCAGGGCCATAAATCACCCCGTGGCACATTTGGTACCACTTTGGATGCAGCCAGGAGTACAGGAAAGGAGGACAAATGGAAAAAAAAAAAATGGGAGGGGGTGGCTTCCTGCAGCTGGGTGAGGAGATTGAGCCAAGCATCTCCATATGAGCCTTCTGAGCTCCAAGCGCCTTCAGGAAAGAGGCTTCTCCTCTTGGGTAGAGTTCAGAAAACTCCAGAGTCACCTAACGCAGCCCACCAGGCTTGGAGGGACCTCGTCCACTCAATCCAGCTCCAAAACCAGTCATTTCACCCTTTTTGGGGCAGAAAGACAGGAATATTCTCCATTTCTAGACCACACCTGCCCACCTGGCCCCTGCTGTCATCCCACCCTCAGAGCACCCTGCCCGTGGGTATGGGATATCCAGGATGGACATGGATCCATCCAGGGCCATCCCACCCCGCTGGAACTCTGCTCCTCTCGGCAGAGGGGCTGCCAGAGCCAAGCAGAAGCTCCAAAACCTTCCCAAATTTCCTGGTAGGAGTTTTGGGGCACCCCCAGCCTGTCGGCAGCCTGGCCTCGCACCCCTGGAAGCTGCCCAGCAGCCCTGCCCAGGCACTGGCATCACCCATGTTCCCTTCCCAGCCTTTGCAGCACTCAGGGCACATCCTGCAGCCAGGGATGTCACCAAGGTCCCTCCTCAATTAACCCTTCCCTGCCCTGCAGCTCTCCAGCCCTCCCTGCATTCCAGCCCAGCCCCCTGCCTGGAAACTCCTAAAGCTGCTGGGCTGCCTCAGGGTGGGAATTTGGGAATTCCCTTCTCCTGCGAGCCAGCACGGCCCTGTCCCTCTGCACAGTCCTGGTGACGTGGCATCTTCTGCTTGGACTGAGACGTTTGTTTGTTTTTATTTATGTTACACTTTTAGAAGTTGTGTGTTACAGTATTCTATTCGAACAAGGTAAAAACGGTGATGTATTTCTTTTTATGAGATTTTTTAAGGATAAATTGTTTCATTAAGAAATGATGTTTAAATTATTTTATCTTTATTTTTATTTTTTTCTTTAACTTAACTAATTATTTGTGTTTTGTAATATGTTTTTTTTTACTTAATTACATAATATTACTTAAACTTATGAAGAAGAAGGTGTAGAAGAAGGTTAAGAAGGACTAGTTTCTGTGTTAAAATTTTAATCTTGTTTCACATATATTACTATATTTTAAAACTTTAAACTTCAAGTTTTGTACTATGTGGTATTATAGACTTTAACATAAACTGCACATTTAACTATTAAACTACACCTTTATAATCATTAACATTAAACTGCACATTTATAGTCTTAGTTTTATTATTTATATATATTTATATAGATATGCATTTATATAGTTTTATTTATATATTTACTTTTGGAACTTATATGTATATATGTAATAAAGCTATATTTATATATTTAATTTTATTTATATATTCAATATTCATATTTATCTATATATTCAATTGTGAGTTTTATTATATTTATATAAATATTGTATTTATATTTGTATATTTAATGAAGATATATTTACATATTTGACTTATATACTTATATATTTATATATTTGACTTATATATTTAATTTTGGAAGCTTTTTCCATGTCTGTGGGATGGAGCAGGCAGGGACCCCAGGGAGAGGAGCAGGACCAGGGAGCAGCACCTGCCCCTGCAGGGTCACTGCTGTCCCCTGCCCTGCCTTCCCCTGGGACATGGCAAACCCCAAGAAAACCAGGTCCTGACAGCAGAAAAACCTCGATTTTAATAATTTTAATAAATCACCTTAATAAAATAATCTCAGTCAAACATGTCTCTGGATCTCTGGGAGCAGCAAGCAGCCGAGGAGACGCTTCCAGTCCGAGCTGCTTCCACACGCACCCCGATTCCCCGAGCCCTGGAGTCCCCCTTTTCCTGGCCTTTCCAGCAGGCAGAAGGAGCAGCCCAGAGCAATTCCCTGCTTTTGCTCCCTGCCTGCCTCCTCTCCATGTTTACAAACACTTGGGCTTCCAGCAGGGCAAGGCAAGGGCTCCTTATAAACACTGAACCGCGGGGAAATGTCAGGGGCGGGGAAACAAAAATAAAACCAGGGGTTTTCACTTCAGCCTGGGAGGTTTTGGGGTCATGCAGCTCGTGGGACACTGGGTGCGCACAGACACGGCCAGGGAGGGACAGGAGGTGCCATGGGGACACCAAAGAGCCCTTCCCAGCCGGCCAGCAGGGGAAATGTCCCATGAGGGCCGGCCAGCAGGCGAAATGTCCCTTCCCAGCCGGCCAGCAGGGGAAATGTCCCTTCCCAGCCGGCCAGCAGGGGAAATGTCCCATCCCAGCCGGCCAGCAGGGGAAATGTCCCTTCCCAGCCGGCCAGCAGGGGAAATGTCCCTTCCCAGCCAGCCAGGAGGGGAAATGTCCCATCCCAGCCAGCCAGCAGGGGAAATGTCCCTTCCCAGCAGCCCTTCCCTTTGATCCCGGGGGGAAGGAGCAGAGCTGGAACACCTCTTCCTCCTCCTCACCCCTGGGAGCCAAGGGAAGGGGAATCCTGGAGCAAAGGTGCCTCCAGGACAGCTGGGGAGCTGAGCAAAGTCTCTCCAGGGCCACAAGCACTGGGCAAGTCACATCTGCAGGGTGGCAAACCCCAGCTCCTGGGAGGGAGGAGAGCTGCAGCTCAGTGCCACCCCTGGAGATGCTCTGCATGCCCTGGGCTCCTCTGGGGGTCCATCCAGGCCATTCCAGCCCTGGATCTGCACAGCAAAGCTCCCAGCCCAGCTCTGCACGGGACAAGTCAGGGCGTGAGGCAGCCTGAATTCCTTCCAGGGCCTCTGAGCCTGCAGGAGGGAATGGGAGGATGGAGGAGGAAAACCCTGACAGGGGTAGAATTCCTTAGGTGACAGCTCACCTGGTTAAGCTCATGCCTGGAGGCAAAGAGTTTCCAGCAGTGCCAGCAGAGCTGACCAGATAATGCTGGAGAAATCTGCTCCCAAACCACAAAAATGAGGTGGGTTTTTTTTTCTTTTTGGTGTTTTTTTTTTTCCTTTTTTCCAGGCTGAGTTGCTGCACAAATGACTGTAATTAAAGCTGTTACCTGTCAGTTCCTCAAGGCTCTGAGGCTCCGGTGTTCAGGCTTTGGAAAAAAGCATCCCTGCATGGCAGCAGTCCCACTCATCCCTCAGCTTACTCATCCTGCCCAGCACCCACCCAGATTTGTCACCAATTAGTTGTAATTCAAGGATTCAGGGGGAAATCCCCACCTCCCCGAGCGAGGTGACTTCACAGGAAGTTAGGGCATGGAATGCCTTTTAAACAACAAAAAAATCATGGAAAAAAATCATGTGTGCCAGAGGCAAGGCCACGGGGCACGGCTGGCGAGGCACACGGCGTTCCTCAGGCATCCAAAGGCTCCTGCAGAGCTTGCAGAGAGGTTCGGAGCATTCCTTTGGAATTCATGCATTATGGAAGAGCCTCAGCCCTGCCGTGTCACCGCTGGCTGCAGTGCTCCTTCCCCTCTCATCACTGCAGCTCAGAAGTTCTGTGCAATTCCCAAATCGCCCTGATAATGGGATCAGGCCCCGATTTACAGGGGTTTCTGTAAAACAGCACCGGGGGCTCGTTGTGGCTGACAGCAGGGCCTTGGGAAGGTTCTTTCCCTCAGGAAAGGAGAGCACCCAGCGCCAGGCTGGCACTGCTCCCAGCCTGGGAAAAGCTGATATTCCCTGGCCTCTCCAAGGGACCCAGCTCTGAGACAGCCTGGTGGTGGCACCAGGCTCCTGCCGGGGACACCAGCCCTGCCACATGCCTGGAGCTGCAGGGAACCAGCCCCACCAGGGCCCAAGGATGCTCCGGGAAAGTTGGAGAATCATGGAATGTTTTGGGATGGAAGGGACCTTAAAAGTCATCTCATTCCCTGCCATGGCAGGGACACCTTCCGCTGTCCCAGGTGCTCCAAGCCCTGTCCAGCCTGGCCTTGGGCACTGCCAGGGATCCAGGGGCAGCCCCAGCTGCTCTGGGCACCCTGTGCCAGGGCCTGCCCACCCTCACAGGGAAAAATTCCTTCCCAAAACCCAATCTAAATCCACCATCCTGCAGCTTAAAGCCATTCCCTGTGTCCTGTCCCTCCATCCTTGTCCCCAGTCCCCCTCCAGCTCCCCTGGAGCCCCTCCAGGCTCTGAGCTCTCCCTGGATCCTTCTCCTCTCCAGGTGAGGCCCCCCAGCTCTGCCAGCCTGGCTCCAGGGCAGAGGGGCTCCAGCCCTGGAGCATCTCCACGGCCTCCTCTGGCCTCTCTCCAGCAGCCGCACATCCTCCCGCGGGATCCGCCAGCCGGGCAGCCTCCCTCCAGGCGGGACCCCCGCACCCCGCTCCGCGCCCCATCCGCGCCCCGCCGCGCTCCCCACTCACCGAGGCGGGGCTGGCCCGCGCCTTGCGCTCCTGCTCGCGGCACTGCAGCCCGGCCAGGTGCCTCTCCAGGGCTGCCCAGTCCATGGCCGGGGGCTGCGGGTCCCGGGGGGGCCGCGCCCCGGCGCTCCGCCGCCGCGCGGGGTCCGAGCGGGGCGGCAGCGGCGGCCGCGGGGCCGCGGCGGCGCCCATGGGCGGCCGGGCACGGCGGGGACCCCCCGTCCTCCTCCTCTTCCTCCTCCTCCTCCTCCGAGTCGCCCAGCGCCGCCAGGTCCAGGCTGCCGGGGGACGGCGAGGACTTGCCCTCCGAGCACGGCGTGGCTTTGCTGGAGTTGGATTCCGAGCTGGAGCGGCTGCTGCCGGCGTCGCTGCCTAAATCCATGCCATCCTCCCGGGAATCCTGCCGGAGAGAAGCGGAGGGCGGCCGCGTCAGGGATGCCCGGAGCGCGCTGCCCGGCGGGCACGGGAAGCGCCGGCCCGGGGCCGCCCCCGCGCTCCGGAGCCGGGGCGGCCCCGGGCGGAGCGGGCGGGGGCGGAGCGGGGCCGGGCTCCGGCTCCGCCGCTCGGGAGCTGCGGGAAACGCCGGCTGGCGGCGAGGAAACGCCGCTCCGGCGGGCAGAAAACCCCGTGCTCCTGGGATTCTGCTCGATTATCCTCGGTTTGGCTTTATTTTTGAAAATTAGAGCTGAGGTATTAGCTGATGTTGTCGTGGTAGCTATTGTAACTATTTTTTTGTTACACAAAAAAAATTTATATTTAAGTGTTACTCTTTATTCCCACGGCTGTTGGGTCGGGACCATCCCAAGCGATCCCAAGCATAAATCCAGGCTGGTAAGGGAATGGATCACAGCAGCCCGGAGGGAAGGGGTTTGGGGTGGTGGTGGAAGAGAAGCTCAGCCTGACCCGGGCACAGGCACTGACAGCCCCAAACCCCCCTGTGCCAGGCTGATCCCAGCGGGGGCAGCCCGGGAGGGGGATTCTGCCCCTCTGCCCGCTCAGGTGAGACCCCACCTGCAGAGCTGCCCCAGCTCTGGGGGCTCCAGAGGATGTGGAGCTGCTGGAGAGAGGCCAGAGGGGAGCAGGGGCTGCTGCAGGGCTGTTATGGCTGGGTTTGGGAGGAGGTGGCACTGTCTCTGTGTGGGGCTGTGGGTGACTGCAGGGAGTCACAGCAAGTGACAAAGAGTGACATCCTCCCTCCCAGGCCCCGAGGGACCACAGGGACACACAACACATCCCTCCTGCCACCCTCTCCCTTTCCTTCCTTCTTTAAAAGTAATTTAAAGTAACTCGTTAAGAGTCTCCTATAAATAACTCCGCTAAAAAAAACTAATCTAGTTTCTGCATTCTGGGTCACCGAAGCCAAGTTTAACACGCAAATGTTCCCATTCCCAACTCCACGGCAAGGAGACCTTTTAAGGCTCTGTGGTGAAATGGGAAGCATCAATCCCACGGATCAGGAGCTTGCAGGGTGTGGAGATGTGGCAGCAGCCAGCTGCCCTCTGCTCCTGCAATCCGACCCTCTGGGTGTGCAGGGGCACTTCAGGGCCAGGGGAGAACCAGCCACCCTTAACTGGAGCATTGAAACACTGCATCGGGTTAGGAGCTGATGTTGGGGCAGGGTTCTGTGTGAGAAACACCCTTGAGGTCACCCACGAGAATCAAAACCTCTCTGTGTTACCCACTCTGCCTCCAGCACAAATCCAAAATATAATTCCAGCCCGTCCTGGGGTGGGGGAAATGAACTCTACCCCAAGAGCAGCACGGGGGGTTAAAAATGAAAGGTTGTGCAGGGTGGGGAGGTGGCCATGGCACAGACACCCGGGGAGTGGGCACAGCTCAGGGGCAATCCCCCTGCGAGGTTCCCCACGGCCTGAATGGGCAGGAATTCCTGAGGGATGAGAGGGAGAAGGGAACTCCTGGGGCTGCTGAGCTGCTCCTTCTGGGCAGGAGGAGGGGAGGGGTCTCCTGTGCCGGGTCTGACCCCTCATCCCCCTCCAGGGAGGGGCATCCCGACAGCCCTGGGAGTACCCAACCCCACCGACATCACACGGGACAAATACTGGGAACAGGTTTCAGTGCCCTGGAGCCATCCCCTCCTCTCCCTGTGGGCTGGGAGAATTCAAACTCATCTTCAGAGTCATCTTGTCCCTGTCCCAGGCTGCTCCAAGCCCCATCCAGCCTGGCCCTGGACACTTCCAGGGATCCAGGGGCAGCCACAGCTTCTCTGGGGTTCCATCCCAGCCCTCCCCAGAGGGAGGAATTCCTTCCCAAGGTCCCTGTGGCAGTGGGAAGCCATTCCCCCTCGCTCTGCCTTGGTTAAAAATCCCTCTCCAGCTTTTCTGGAGGAGACTCTGACCCCCAGGCAGGGCTTTGGAGGGATAAAGGGGCCGGGATCCACAGGGAATATCACAGGGTTTATTTGGGATTAACCTTTCCCTTGAGGTGTCTCCTCCAGGTGCTCAGCCCGGATTATCCCAATTTTCTCTCCTGACCCCCAGGAGCAGCTGAATCCCTCCCTGTTCCCAGCTGATCCCTGCTTCCCTCCCCAGCTGCCTGGTGGCTGAAACTCCAGAAAATCAGGAACTGCAGAGTGCAGTTTTAAAAATAATCCCAGCAAATGGCAGGAAGGAGCAAAATCCTGGAGATGAATTGCTTGGGGAAGAGGTTTCACCACAAGGTTGGGAGGGGGTGGCATTTGACACAGTTTGTGTGGTGCAGTTCTTTATTTGGGGCTGGTTTCACATCACCACCAGCCTCAGAAGGGATTTTTTGCTGAGCAAAGGAGGAGCTGCCTCACTGCTCCCAGGCTGGCGACAGTTTGATTTATGGGATCTTCGCTGGGGAACTTTCTTCCCTTCATCACGAGTGCACTGATAATGTTTTGTGGAGGACAGGAGCGCTTCCCTCTCCCTGAATTTCCCAGTGTGGAATGTGGAATATCATTAAACCAGTGGCAGGCACTTCCCAATCCAAATTTTCCCGTTTTAGTGGGATAAAGCTGCTTCAGCCTTCACTCCATTCATGCTTTAAGGTGCCAGTCCTTGCAAATCCCTCCCTGCTGCCCTGTCCTCAGACAAATTTGTTTTCTTACAAGGTTTAACACATCACCCATTTTTCCAAGTTTCCTTTTTTTTTTTTTTTCCTCCACTGCAGACAGATCCAATAATTTCTGACCTCGTAGTAAACCCTCCTCACTTCTAATTATACACAGGGAACATATTTCTGCTCGACCTGCTCAGGAAGGAGCCAGCTCTTGCTGCACAAATGGCATTTCTCTCTTCCACAAACCCTTTTCCAACACCATGGAAAACCTGGGATTTGTAGGAATTTTCAAGGGTGTGAACACAAACCCTTGGAGATGAAAGAACCTGGCTCACAGCTCTTTTATTCAGTGCAAAGGAGGTTTAATACAAACAAGAGTTGTGGGGTTGATTCTGAGGCAGAAATCTATCACAAAAACCAGATTTTTATTCTCTTCCTGGTGTTTGTTCAAAGGCAGTTTGCTGATTATCATAAGATTTAAATGGATTTGATTTTTCTATTTTGGCACTGCTGTAACCCCATTCTAAAATGGGTTTCTTGTGTTCTTTCCTGCTACACTGCAGAAGTTTTTGGGTCAGAGAAGGAGGAAATCAGGGAAATCACAACCTCCCTTAAAGCACCATAAATGCCTAAATATGGGAATGTTTCTGCCAGCTGGGTCTTTATCCCAACACCCTCATGTCCACCCAGAGCTCCCAAATTCTGTTTTTACTTTAAAATCTGGGGTTTGGGGTTTTTTCCTTGAACTGACTCCCACAGAGAGCTGAGCACTGTCCCTAATCCCAAATCCAGGTGGGATTTGCCAGGGAAATGATGCTGGGATAAAAACATGCTGGGATAAAGCAGGAAAGGGAAGTTTCCTCTGAACACAAAGAGTTTCCCTTTCCCGAAAGGAAAAGGACTGCTCTGAGATCAGGGCACGTTTCCTTTTCCTGCTGTGAGCATTCCTGGGGTTTGTTCATTCCACGGGCAGGAAAAAGCTGCCAGAGTTCAGCTGGGAGAGGGGAAGGTGCCCCTGCCCATGGGATTGGAACTGGATCAGCTTGAAGGTCCTTTCCAGCCCAAACCACTCTGGAATTCTATGATTTGATGATTCTGGGATAAATACTCTGGCAGAGTGGAATATTCTACAGCTTATCCTACAGAAAAGTTGTCTCCTCTCCAAAAACCCCGTAACATCTTGCAGTCCCTTTGCACTGCTCTGGGAGAGTGGAATATTCTGCAGTTTATCCATACAGAAAAGTTGTCTCCTCTCCAAAAACCCCGTAACATCTTGCAGTCCCTTTGCACTCCTGTTATCCCAATCCCTGCCTTTGGGGTCAGGAGAACCAGGATGCCCAATCTTTGTTTTTGGGACCAGGAGCACTGGGATGCCCAATCTTTGTTTTTGGGGTCAGGAGCACTGGGATGCCAGTCCCTGCCTTTGGGATCAGGAGCACTGGGATGCCAGTCCCTGCCTTTGGGGTCAGGAGCACTGGGATGCCAATCCCTGCCTTTGGGGTCAGGAGCACTGGGATGCCAATCCCTGCCCATGGGGTCAGGAGCACTGGGATGCCAATCCCTGCCCATGGGGTCAGGAGAACCAGGATGCCAATCCCTGCCTTTGGGGTCAGGAGCACTGGGATGTTGCCCTGCCCCAGGTTTTCCAGCCCTGTGCATCCCTGAGATTCCAGCAGCCCACCCCGAAATGCCAAATTAAGGCCAATTAATTAAAGAATAGGCACGGTGGGGACTCACCTGCAGCTCCCGCGGGGGCAGGGACAGGATCCACGGGGCTGCATTCCCCTCTGGAATGCTGCATCCTCCCTCAGGAAGCTGCAGGGCACAGGGGTGCCATGGCACGGCATTCCTGCCCTTGTGGGCACTGTTCTCCTAGTGCTTGGATTTGCAGGTTTAACTCTTTAAATTTAGCAAATTAAATTTAGCCCATTAATCCTTTGCTTACTTCAGAGGGGGAGGGCAATCACAGCAGGGCTCTGAGCGATGGCACTGCCACAGAGCCCTTCTGGTGGCACAGGAGGGGACAAGGGCAGCATCCCAAAATAATCCCTTTCACGCCAGGCTCAGCACTTTGGGCTCGGGCAGCCCCTGTTTCCAAAGTGGGATTTGATGCTTGCTGGGATGGCTCCACCCCTGCCAGGGCTTCCCTCCCTCCCAGAAGTTTTCCCCACACCCTAAAACACTCCCAAAGTCCACGTTGTCTCTTTTCCTTTGGAATAATTGTAGGATGAAAGAGCTGCTCCTGCACAGACTGGTTTTCCTCTGAATTATTTGCTCTGGGATGAATTCTAAAATCCTGGAATGGGTTGGAAAGGACCTTAAAGCTCATGCCATTCCCTATCCATGGGCAGGGACACTTTTCCCTATCCCAGATTGCTCCCAGCCCTGTCCAAGCTGTGCTGAAACCATTCCAGGATGGAGCTGCTTCCCCCGTGCCTGTCCCAGCCCGGAAGCTCA